ATTTGTTGTAAATTTTTATCACATTTGGAAACATTGGAGCATCTGGGTGACTTAGTCGATTAAGCTTTGACTATTGATAACAGCTCACGTTGTGATCTTGCAGACAGGATATTGAGTCCTGTGTGGAGCCTGCTTGGATTCTCTCTTCTTTGTCTCTCTCAAAATAAATATTTTAAGAAATAATAAATAAAAATGGAACTTAATAACATATCATGAACTTGACAGAGGAACAAAGGGGAGAAGAAGGGCAGAAATGGTGGGGGAAAGGGAGAGAAGCAAACCATGAGAGACTCTTGAATGCTGACAAAAACTGAGGACTGATGGATGTGGGGGGGAGGGGGGATGGGCACTGAGTGTTATGTGGAAACTAATTTGACAATAAACTATTTGTAAAAAAAAAAAAAAATCATGTATGTCTTTTGTATATTGTTAACTTAGGGTGGATGTATATCATTTCTGGTGGCTACATTGGTATTGGTTATATGAATGTACTGCTCTTTAGCCAGTCACCTCTTTATGGACAAGATAGTTTCCAATTTTTCACTCTTAAAAGTAGTATTTATAGGGGCGCCTGGGTGGCTTAGTCGGTTAAGCGTCCGACTTTCGCTTAGGTCATGATCTCGCGGTTCGTGGGTTTGAGCCCCACGTCGGGCTCTGTGCTGACTGCCAGCTCGGAGCCTGGAGCCTGTTTCAGTCTGTGACTCCCTCTCTCTCTGACCCTCCCCTGCTCACGCTGTCTCTCTCTCTCTCCTAGAAATAAATAAAACATTAAAAAAATTAAAAAAAAAAAGTATTTATAGTGAATATCCTGTAAATAAAGCTTTATATGTCCATATCTGTTTCTTTTAAGAATAATTTCTGGAAGTGTAATTATGATATCAAAAAATAAGTATTTTTAGAGTTTTATTTAAGGAATTTAGAAATAGGGGATTTAAATAATTTCAACTCTGTCTTCTTGTGAAAAGGTGCAAAATAAGAGAACTTAGTTTTAACACTGGTTTTCCTGTGAGACAGGATTTAGTAATGTTCACAACTGACAGGGCCATGCATTCTGTTTGTGGTAAAGATTTCTCTTTAATTGTTAAGTGTGATAAAGCTAATATGTAACCAGTTTTAGTGCTCTCTTTGCAGTGTATGCTGATGGCAGCATATGTTTAGATATCCTTCAGAATCGATGGAGTCCAACATATGATGTATCTTCTATCTTAACATCAATTCAGGTAAGTGTGAGTTAGGATGCATCATGATTTTTCAAGACTCTGTGGGATATAGTCAGCTTCTTTTGGAGCACTGTAAAGACCAGGTGAGCAAACTAAGCTTCCCAGCACCCAGGTAACCAATGGCACAGCTTGGATAAAAACCCATGATATTTAGACAACTGGTCCGCTTTTTTGTTAGTGACCACACTGGATCAAATCCACGGTCATTTTCCTGATCCTTGTGTCAATTAAAGTGTTCTCACAGGTCAAGTATGAGTTGTGCCCAAGAAGCATAGCCAGAGGATGTGGAGAAGGAAGAAAAGTCTTCTTGGAAATAGAGAAAGATGATTGCTTAGGAAAACCATAGGGACCTCAAGAAACTGCCAGGTGCAAAGAAGCACTGAGTATGTTACTCCATCCAAGAAATTGTTTAAGAAAAAAAAAAAAAAAAGATAGTGGTAACTATTTGCTGAAGCACTCTGGTAGATTGTTTCAGAGTTGACCTTGAGTGACACTTTTGGAGAGAGGTAGACTAAGGGATGTTTTAGTTTATATGGATTTCAGAGGAGCGGAATTAAATGTTGGCTTGTGACATTTTTAAACCTTTTTCTATCACATTTCTTTTTTAATTCAGGTAATTTTATAACATTGTCTTCAGCTTTCCTGTCTCATTCCCTTGCTGCAAGATATATGTTTTCTTGATTAAAAGAAACAAGATTCACAACCCAGCTTAACTGTCAGACGTTTGCAGCATAACCACAATAATAAGAGTTTAACTTAGAAAAATATTCATTGCTAAGCTCTTTCTATTTCTTGGCTAATGGTTTCAGTATGTTGAATATTCTCATCCAGTTTCCTTAAAATTAGAGGTCTTAAGACAATTGAGGACTGTGTGTTTTGGAAGTTTAAGTTCTCTAGCAGCAGGAACATTACTGTGATCAAGCCATTTCTGAAACTATGTTAAGACTTATAGAAGATATACTATTATCTGCCATTTCATTACTGAATAATTTGTTTTGTACAACTCCTGTGCTCCATATCTAACCCATGGTAATGTAAAGAAGAACTAAGCAGATATTTTTTTCTTTTCCCTCTTTCCATCTAGTCTCTGCTGGATGAACCGAATCCAAACAGTCCAGCCAATAGCCAGGCAGCACAGCTTTATCAGGAAAACAAACGAGAATATGAGAAAAGAGTTTCCGCCATTGTTGAACAAAGCTGGAATGATTCATAATAGACAACTGGTCTGTTAATTTTTTTCATCATTGTTGTGTATAATTTACCTCTCAGTAGAAAGGCTAACAAGTTTTAAGTGCCACAGGTTTTAAGGATTCTGCAGAAAAAAAGTCCTTCAGTTTAGAACCTACAAAAGCTTGTGTATCTTGATTAATGTACTTTTTATTGCATGGTGTGAACTAAGTTATTGCTTACATAAATTTGTAATATATCCTGTTTGTATTTTTTTCCAAGTGTATAATGTTGGTGTGGAGTTTTCATGACAGAATAATACACATTTTGTAAATCTGTACTTTTTTCAAATATTGAATGCCTTATTTTTGAATTCTTTAGATTTTTAAATTGGAGAAAAGCACTTAAAGTTTTTTATATATGACTATTACATGTAAAGCTGTTAAAATACATAACTTCAGTGCAAGAGACTTTGTCACTTATTTCCTTATATGTGTAGGAGGGGTTAATAAGTCTCTAGCTCTCCCATCAATTGATAGTTTCATTTCCAGTTTCAAAAGAACAGATTTATATTTTATCAAGAAATTCTTCAAATTTGATTCTAAACACCAATTATAGTTTCAAACTTTATTTTGAATGTTTGAATGAAACTATATCAGTTTCACTTGAGCAATTATAGACATAAGTGGTTTGATTCTGTCCCACTCTGTATTTAGGCCACTTAGAACTGTTTCTTCCTTCACTACTTAACTGTTAAACTGTACCTTTTTGCAATTTCACAGTTTGTACCTCTACCATGAGGAATTGGCACCTCTACATGGAGCAGAGAGCTGATGCAACTTACTTTGCTGCTTGATAGCACTTTAAAAGATTTTGGATAATGGAGAAAGTAAAACTGTAAACACTTACAAAATCCATGCCCCACTATTAACACTGAATAAGATTTGGTTGCATTGGTTTAGCAAGGCAGAGATTTGGAAGGAATCTTGGTGTAACTTAAAATATTTGAAAACTGCCTTTTAATGCAATTGCATATCTGTTTATTCTGGAAAATTGTTTTAATACCAGGGTCTGCTGAGTTGCATTCTCTTGTGGAGATTTTCTCTTTTCTTTTCCTTTTTTTTTTTTATCTCCTAAGTTGTATAAAAGTTGTACTGCATCTTAGTTTACTGGATAAATTTAAAACACAGTATTGTAGAAAGCTAATACAAAGCTATCCTATGCCTTCAAATAGTACAGAAAATGGAAAATATACAAGTAAATTCTGTTGAACCACCTGTGTAGTCTTTCTAGTTCAGTTAAAACAGCTATTTGAGTAACCTCAATAGTTTCTTCTCCTATCCTTACCAGCTTAGTAAGCTTAGTAGCTGCTTCTCAGTTGGAAGACTGTAGGATGGCAATATGTACAGCTTCTTTTTATTAAGCAAAGTTTAACATTGGAAGGATAAGTGTTGACATTTCCCTGTAAAAGTTATTACTTGGCAAATTTTGGGGTAAGTGTGTGATCTTGGGAAGCTTCATATAAATAAGAGTCCACTCACTAGAATTAATGGCCAAAAAAAACCACTTAAAGGGACTTTTTGGTCATGTCAAATGTGTGATGCTTTCATATTCAGCTCTGAGACAAACCATAGTCCTGTAGACCTTACTCCAGTGTCTGACTCTTATTTCAGTAGGTATGAGTCTCCTCTCTTATTTCATTACATGCTGTTTGGTTACTGCTTCAAAATCTATTTTTACCCTAACCTGTTTTCCTTTTCCCATCTAAAATTGAAACATTTTATGTGTTGATAATTATTATTATTTTTTTTTATTTAAATGTTTTTATTTCTAGGAGAGAGAGAGAGAGAGAGAGAGCGTGAGCAGGGGAGGGTCAGAGAGAGAGGGAGTCACAGACTCTGAAACAGGCTCCAGGCTCTGAGCTGGCAGTCAGCACAGAGCCCGACGCGGGGCTCGAACCCACGAACCGCGAAATCATGACCTAAGTGAAAGTCGGACGCTTAACCGACTAAGCCACCCAGGCGCCCCGATAATTATTATTAAAAGTTACATCTCACTTTGCAGGGAGTCTGTGAGCTCCAAGGCCTAAATTCAACACATAAATAAAACTCCTACCATGAAACTCAACCTTCCCAGTACAGAAAATGCTTAGGAATATTCCTCTCCCAGTTACTCCTCAGGTTTTTTCTTCAGCCTTGGAACAGAGTCCTATTTCTTTGCTTGAGTACTAGATGTAAACCCTCTATTTATAAGGTTATAGCCTACAAAAAAATGTTTAAACTTCCGTAAATTTTAGAAAAGTATGACAAGAGGCTAGAACTAATTTATTTTGGTATGAAGTTGGATTCATGCTAAAGTTTAAATGCATTTATGATGCATCTTCCTCTGTAACAGTGTTTTGTGTGTTTTGTTTTTTTTTAATATTTACTTTGGGGGAGAGCACAAGCAAGAGAGGGGCAGATAGAGGGGGACAGAGGATGGAGAGCAAGCTCTGTGCTGACAGGCTGACAGCACTGGGTCCGATGTGGGACTTAAACTCACAAACTGAGATCATGACCTGAGCTGAAGTCGGATGCTCAACCGACTGAGCCACCCAGGTGCCCCTGTACCAGTACTTCTGACATGGAATGTTTTATGTGCTTGGCACTATTAAGAACACTTTAACATATGACCATATTTCAGATTCACAGTAATCCTGTGAGGGTAGCTAACCATTATGTTACAGATGAGGAAACTAGGTACACAGGATTCAGTGACTTGGTCTAGGTCAGCCAACTAGCAAGTGATAGAGCTGGGATTAGTACCTGGCCAGTCTGGTCTTTTACCCAAGAACTGTACTGCCCCTTAGGAGATTTTAAGGGGCTGAGTTCAGTTTTAGAAAATGTACAATACTTTAGTTGATTTAGAATTATGTACAGATTTGTATCCAGTGAAGAGATTTTCTTGACCATTATTTTCTACCACCCCCCCCCCTTTTTTTGTAAACAAGTCTGGATATAGGAATACTTGCTGGTCTCCGATATAAAAGACTATGACTTAACAACAGAGCACATTTTTCCCCCTTCATGGAACTATTCTTGAGTTGGTACTCTCTCCCCTCCCCTGACCGCCCCCAATAAAAAAGTTCCATGAATAACTTCTCAAACTGATCTAAAAATTCTTACTCCTGTAGTGGAAGATACTGGAGAAGAAATCTATTTAAGGTGCCTTATTTAGTTAACAGTATTTTGTGCTCAGTAAACCAAGTACCTGTCTACTTAATTTATTCATTTAGTACTCTTAAGAAAGAACCCCCTGGGGCTTATATAGCACAGTTTAGAGTTTTACCTAAGGTATTTGGATCTCTCAATTTTCCCAGGTTTTAAAAGATAGGGATCAACTTTTTAGTTTGGTGGTATTTATTACAATTCCTTTCTGTTGCATTTAGCAATGCAAAGTCCCAAAGGAATCTCAGTTATGTGAGGATTATTATGTAAATTAAAAAGTCAGTGGTTACAAAGCCATTAAAGGTAAATGAAATTGTCCATAGGGCAAGGGCCTTGTGCCAAGACAGTAGCCCTATTATTTCAGTTCCCGTCTATTTAGGAAAAAACTGAGCTGTGGTCAGCTAAGAGTAAAGATTAGTTACCTTTATTCAAGTATATGACACATTAGAGGAAAAAGATTAGAAACAAAGTTTTACTGTTGAATTTCCTTTTCTTTCTGTCTTTTGAAAAAGAATATACAACTGCATGTGCCATTCCTCTGAGTAATTTCTCCACCTCCCCTATCCCCCAAATGCATTGGTTTAAAACAGTTTTGTTAATAATGTCTTTGAGGTTTGTACATTTCCTGTCATAGCATGGGCTAGGGCTTTTTCTAGTTGGGCCAGAAAGACAACTGAGCTATGCCTTTTGCAAACCTTTTTGAGTATATGACTCCTGTCAGTCTCAACGTTAGTTCCTTGTTGAAATCAAGAACCCTGGAAAGAAGGGCTTCAAGTTTCTCTGGCATCTGGAGGATTCAGACTTGGGTAAAAAGCCCAAATGGACTGACTTTCAGGACCTGTCATTCATTTTAGTGGTAAAGATTGGCCACGTGATGCTTTGGTTTATCAGTGACTTGTGGAATAATGTTTGGAAAGACTCTAGAGTGTGTACTCTGCTGAGAGAAAGCAAATAACCTTTTAGCTGGTTAGAGAAATCTTTATATGGTGCTGGTCTTGGTTACAAGTATGATGCTTCTGCAGGCTTTTGTGGGGAGGTTAACTAAACTCTTACCTGAAAGACTGGGATCCTTAAAGTGCCACTGGGTTGAGTACTTGTCTAGAGGGAACCAGAGCCTATCTCTGAAAGGATCTCCTCAGGTTCCATCAACCTGTACCAGTTAGTTGTCATTCTTCCTGGAATGCAGGACAGATTCTGTGGTGTCTTGAAGGCTGCCAAAACGCAAACATAAGAGCACTTCAGGCAGACCTCTTAATGCTGCTTCCTGTCTGAAGCCCAGAGTATAAGTTGCCCTTTCCTTTCCCCCTTTACAAACAAGGCTCTTTGCCAAGGATAGCACAGCCCACCAAATGAATTGGACTGGCTTCCCTCCTGAATAGGAGAATGTCAAACGCAGAGAGACTTGCAGCTCTTTGGCCTCTGTATGACGTCATTTCACAAAACTGAGTTGGAAAATTTTTATGTTACTGTGGTGGTGTGAGAACAGAGACCACAAAGAACTGGAAACTTGTCCTGTTAGCATCCTAGACAGAATAAGAAAAGAATCCAGAGATTCCAGCCCATGTCATCAACTTCAGCAAAGGCTTGGAATATCCCCTCCAAAGAAAACCTGGATTGTAATCCTGCTGTGTTTTAGTGGGCTTTGGTTAGAGAACTGTACGTGCACGAGCACAGAAAGCTGTGGTTTCAGGTGGAGACTCTCTGGAACAGCTGGAAGGCTGCCTTTAGAATCCCAGGGGTGGGTACAAGGATCTTTTGCAAGCCAGAAAGATCAGGGAGAGCATTACTGAGGCCTGATGACCAGGAGGTTGAGGACTCATTTTTTCAGGGAGAAAGTTCCTCTCTCTGGCTTTCGTTAGCCCTTACACATCAGTTAGTTGGTGGGCTGCAAATTCTTTTGCACAGAGCAGCTTGAGAACATAATTACCATGGCACCCTCTCAAGACCAAGTATGAGGGATCAGGCTATAAAAGCAGCAGTACAAGGTACAGTTCCAAAGACTGGAATGTAAATCAAATACTAGGAACCCTTTTCTAGACAGCCTCTGGCAGTACATGCACAGGCCTGGGCAGGAAGCCAGTAAAACAGTAGAGGACCTCCAGGTTCCAAGATCCAGATCCTCTGGAGACCTTGATTAGCAGGCTTCTGGGTTTTGTTATAAAAGTAAAATGTTAATAATTTGGTAAACAAAGGTAGAAAATATGAGTCACTCACTGTCTTACCACCTGTGAAGTTGAAAACAGCTGGTTCAAGGGGAAGTGGAATTGTAGGTGGTGGTCCAAGCTCAACTGTTTGTCAGGCGGGGCCATAATTCACACCAAGTGATAAGGAATCTCCTCGGCTTACAGGTGAGACTCCAGTGATGAAGCCAGTGCCAGAGCAAAGGCCATGTTCATGGAGAAAGGAACACACCCACAGCCTTTGCCTGGCATTTGATTAGGGTTGCATGACTCAGTGCCTGCTGCATTGAGTTTGTCAGCATTGCTACTGAATACGTACTGTGTGCCAAGTCACATCTTTGGCCCTACGCTACAACTACAACTGCTGTGTTCTGCCCTTCTGCAGCCCTCGGGATGGAGTCTGATCTTGTGGGCGTCATTGTGGGCGCTCATTTTTCTTTTGTTAGAAAGTTAGTTGAAACATTTCATATTTTCGCAGCTTGGCCTCAAAGGGAGAGTAGGGTAGGAATAAAGCAGGGAGAGCTCACTAAATTCCAGGTACTTAAAGACAAATTTTTCCACTGAGTCCTCCAAGATCAAAATAAGAATCATCCCCCGCTTTGAAGACCCCTACACTGAGGAGTGAAATAAATCAGGAGGAAGGAATTACCTAACATTTCACAAATTCAATTAAATACTTCTTTTTTCCTTAATGTTTTGAGGGAGGGAGTGAGCAGCAGAGGGGCACAGAGAGGGAGAGACGATCCCAAGCAGGCCCAGTGCTGTGCTGTCAGCACGGAGCTCATGCAGGGCTCCATCCTACAAACAATGAGCTCATGACCTGGGCCAAAAGCAAGAGCTGGATGCTCAACCTGACTGAGCCACCTCGGCAGGCACCCCTCAATTAAATGTTCTTAATATGAGAAAATATCAAAGGGAAAGGAAAATGCAGCTAACCAAAATTGAGATTTTGGTGCCAGCATTCACAGCAAAGCAAGGGCTTCAGTCAGTAGGCCCAAACAGTTCAGGGTTGACCTCCTTACTGTTAATTGCCCTTTCACTAAACCAGGGGAAGACCAAGACCTGCCTTCACATACCCTAACACCATTTCTCCCAGGCAAACAGGTCAGAGGCCCATAGTCAAGGATAGTTTGGGGTCGTTTGCCTACTTTTCCTAGATTGGGAAAGAAGGATGGGACTTGGGCTGGGACCACTTGGGTTATTTCTAAAGAGCCACCCTTGACTGACAGCACTGTCTAGGAAAAAAACTCTGGTTCACACGGCCGTGTTTAGGATAGGTTAAGAATTCTAGCCCCCATCTAGTGGGAGTTTAATAGTCTCAATTTTTACTTTTTTTTATTTTCAAGGGAATCTTTTCAGGTAATACAGTCTTATTCCCTCCCACCTCCTCAACTAGTCCTCTTGTCTCTGGGCAAGGCTTCAGGCTGACCTCCCTGTGACAAGCACATGTGCAAAGGACTCTGTGGCTACAGCTGGCATTGTGAGAAAAACTAAACCAAAACGAGAAGGGCAGCCAACACACTATCACCACTAGGCCTGGGAGTCTGAACTTGCAAGGAGCAGGATAAACTTGGGAAAAGAAACTATCTCCTCTGGTTTGTTTTTCACTTAAATAAATGGATAAAGAGGCTCTTTTGCTCACTTGCCAGTCATCTATTTTAACGAAAAGCAAGCCAGGAGAGATTTTTTTTTCCCCAAAGAGGATATATAGATATATATGAGGGCAGAGATTTTTTTAGTATGCATTCAGTATTCGCTGAAAGAAGCAATTTCCATATGACCACAAACCAATTTAAGTTCTAAAACTCTTGCCTCAAATCTTAAGATTTGTTTAGTCTTACTCCTAAAGGTATCCCTGAACTAGTCAACAATGAGTCATGACTAGATCACAGGATACCTAGTTGACAGTCTCTTTCCAGACAAAAGATACCTCACAGAGACTTTAGAGCTGGACAGCAGAGAAACACTGAGTTATCTGACATTTAGAATAATATAAATCTCATTTCAGATGCAACAGTGTATTTTCAGTGCCGTTTACTACAAATAGCAAAGGATCAGAGGATGGGCAGTGATAATGATTCCTCCCAGTGCTCATGGAATAGGTAAGCCACAAGTCCACATGGATCCTGGAAAATCCTTGCCTCTGCCAGAGCAGAGAATTTCATCAGGTAGGCTATAGATGCTAAGGAATACTGGAAAAAGGAATTTTCTGGGTAACATAAAAGGGTGTCATGGTTAAGTGAGCACCTACACTGTACTGTTAAGTACTTGCTTCCCACAAGGTCTTGAGACTTAAGTCTTTGACAGAAAAGATCCTCTCTAGTTATTACTTGAAGGTAACAGTTTACCATGTCCTTCCTCTTGATCTCATTTGATCCTCACCCCACGTAGGCAAGAATGATATACCAAGGCAAGTACCTTACAGCAAGCTCCTGTTTCAACACTAAGAGTGGTCTGGCTTACCTACATTATGAGGACTGCTGCATTGCAAAAATTTAGATTTCTGTGCTAATTTCTATTCCAGAAAAACATAAAGGATAAAATTCTAAAATACTGGTTGGGGCACATGGGTGGCTCAGTCAGTTAACCATCCGACTTCAGCTCAGGTCATGATCTCACGGTTCGTGGGTTCAAGCCCTGCATCGGGCTCTGTGCTGACAGCCAGCTCAGAGCCTGAAGCCTGTTTCAGATTCTGTGTCTCCCTCTCTCTCTGACCCTCTCCCCTGCTCGCTCTCTCTCTCTCTCTCTCTCTCTCTCAGAAATAAATTTGAAAAAGTAAAATACTGGTTAGTTTTGTAGACAAGACAGTTACAAAGGTTTTAAGGTAAACCCTGAGAAAAACAGAAAAAGCTTAAGCTGAGGAAATAATGAGAGAAAACCCATTAGAAAATGGTTATCAGAAAATTTACTTTTGGTTAACTAGAGAAGTCTCAAACTGAAGAATGGGGAAGGGGAGCATGGCATCCGTGCACAGTTTAAGCTTGGTTTATGCAGTGGATATGTTCCTGACAGGATAGTACGGTTTTACTGGTGCATTATATCTTACAGTAAAAATGGGATCTATGATGAGAAACATGTGAAAGATGCCTTTAAGTGAACAGCCCCACTCTGGCATTTCCCACTTCATAATGTGGTTTCTAAGCATCACAAATTTGTACAGGTGAGCAGAAAAGAAAGAGGCAAGGCTCTATTTGAGGAAGGGGCTGAGGCTCAGTGAGCAGCAGCTTATTAGCCCTGTAACATCGTCATCTCTGCCACATCTCTCTGATAGGGATTTCTCTGCTCTCCATTTCCCAGGTAAGGCTAGGGAGAGACATGGCTGGTCCAAGGTTGTATCAGAGGTCTGGACCTCATCTGGTCCACCCTATTGATGGTTATAGATTAGAGCTAGAGCCAGAAGCTATACAGAGATGTAGTCCAACCAAGACGTGATAGTTAGGCTTGAGTAGTGAGTCTTCCCATTTCTCTGGCACCAGGGAAATGCTCCCACAGCCAGCTCTGTTCCGCATTTCTGGGTTTTTAATTACCTCAATTTACCAGTAGGTTAAGCTAAGACAGGGTTCACTGTCGTTTTCACCATCATCCTGAATACCAAGCTCAGTGATGAGTGAATCCTTCTATGACTGTTATACTGCTGACCCCAAATGAAGTCCCTCTCAGGATTTATGTCTAGATATTGCTTCTCGGCCTTTTGGTTAAGATCAAGTGTAGAATTAATGCCTGGAGGTAAGTACTTAACTGTGGGTATTAAATAAGAAAGAGAGGGCACCTGGCTGGCTCAGCTGGTAGAGCATGCAACTCTTCATCTCGGGGTTCTAAGTTCAAACCCTATGTTGGGCGTAGAGATTACTTAAAAATAAAATCATAAATAAATAAAATGGAGCAAATACATTAACTAAAAGAGGGAAATTAATATGAGAATTTCAGAGCAAAATAGCATTGCACTAAACAAGTTATTTCTTCAGGGGAGGGATATGTGCAAGGCAATCCACAAGTCTACAAGACCAGAACACTCAGGATCCCTCCAAAAACGAGAATGCGGGTTTTACTTAATAGCCTGGGAGATCTTCTAGAAAATCTATAAATCAACTGGCTGCCTGGACCAAGCTGTGGCATCTTTTTTTTTTTTTTTTTAATTTTTTTTTAAGGTTTTATTTATTTCTAGGAGAGAGAGAAACAGCGTGAGCAGGGGAAGGTCAGAGAAAGAGGGAGTCACAGACCGAAACAGGCTCCAGGCTCTGAGCTAGCAGTCAGCACAGAGCCCGACGCGGGGCTCGAACCCACGAACCGCGAGATCATGACCTAAGCGAAAGTCGGACGTTTAACCGACTAAGCCACCCAGGCGCCCCAAGCTGTGACATCTTATATCAGTTTTAAAGGTCAGATGCCTTTTCAGAAGCTGCCTCTTCCCATAAGTTGGTAGGTACTTGAGGCCTACGGTTTCTCTCTCATCTCTTAAAAAAAGACAAGTGTGTGTGGCAATGGCCATAAAGATGGCAGAAATAAATAAGGAAATAAAGGCTAGTCTGCCTCAGTGGGGGGAAAAACACCATAAAACAGAATCAGACTTGAAGATAACATTGTTGAAAAATCCAAATTGTAAAATTCATTACCTGCAATTATTACATCAACATAAAAAAAATAGGCATTTTTAACAAAAAGTTTGACATTCAAAAAGTAAAAATAAAAAAAGAAGGCATGATTTATAAATATGTAAATATCCATGCACACTTTTAGAATGATAGCTACTGGAAGAATGAGACCTTTTAAAACTCCAATCTAGACAAGACTATCTGTCATTCCAATTGCCTCTTGATTTCCTACAGGTTGAAATACCAGGAATCTTAAGAGAGCTGCTGTGGTCAATGTCACATTCATCCCAGCCTCCTTCCTAAGCTGATGTTGAAAATGTGATGAATCTTCTGCCTTAGTTTTGATGCTGGGGAAAAAAAAGAAAAGGTTACTGAGCCATGTAGTCCAGCGAATCAAATTCAGAAAATACAGCAGTAATACACTATTTATGTACTACCCCATGGAGAGTACATTCAGAAATTATCTTACTACATACAGAAAACTCAACAAACCAATGAACCATTTTGAACCTAGAGCCTAATTTTTTTTGTCTTATCGCCCATGATCTATAAATGTTCACAATTTAAACTGGTAAGAAAATACTTGAAATATAACTTTTCTCATGGCATGCTCTGCAGTGAAGGGTTCTAAAAGCAGAATCACACAAACACTGTTCTAAATTAAAATCAGTTGAATCCAGGTAGTAATTCACAAGATTTCACATTGACTCAGGATATTTAGGAGATGTGAAGGTTATGTATTTCCGGATTTCACACTATTAAAAACTGTAAATGCATGTCTTCAAATAGTAGCAAAATGAAGCAAATATATTCTTTCTGGGTGCTCTCTAGCACCTTTGATAAATTTAAATTTGGCTTGAGACAACTTTTAAGCTGGGTGTGAAGAAATCATTTTGGCTGTCACCTTGTATCGGATTTCCTTAACATTTAGCAATGCGAGTGAATCAATTTGAGAGTCTTTTTAGTAATCAGAGTTTTCAAGGTATGACCTATTTCCTAGCTAAGCCTGTCACTCCAGTCTTTCTGAGCAATGATAAAGCAAAATTCCTCAGGAAAAGCAAAATATAAGAAGTCTTTCTCAGGGTGCCTGGGTGGCCCAGTGGGTTAAGCATCCGACTTCGGCTCAGGTCATGATCTCACTGTTCATGGGATCGAGCCCCACATTGGGTTCTGTGCTGACACCTCAGAGCCTAGAGCCTATTTCGGATTCTGTGTCTCCCTCTCTCTCTGCCCCTCCCCAACTCATGCTCTGTCTCTCTCTGTCTCAAAAATAAATTTTAAAAAAAGTTTAAAAAAAAAATAATAAGCCTTTCTCCTGTTGGAAGAATACATCACTTAAAGAAACCATCTTTAGTCTGAAGGAAAAGAAAATCCCCTAAGAGAGGCGCCTGGGTGGCTTAGTCGGTTAAGCATCCGACTTTCGCTTAGGTCATGATCTCGCGGTTCGTGGGTTCGAGCCCCGCTTCGGGCTCTGTGCTGACTGCCAGCTCAGAGCCTGGAGCCTGTTTCAGAGTCTGTATCTCCCTCTCTCTCTGACCCTCCCCTGCTCACGCTGTCTCTCTCTCTCTCCTAGAAATAAAAAAAAATATATTAAAAAAAAAAAAAAAAAAAGAAAATCCCCTAAGAGATCTTTCAAATTTCCAAAAGGACAGGCCAAGACTACAGCAGCACAAGCCTGCCACAGCTTTGGCTGCTCCAAGTATGGTCTTTGACACAGTGTTAGCACAGGATTCACTCATCCTGGGCACCAGGTAACACACTGGCCTATGGGGTCAGAAAAAGTCTTTCTTGCTTTTTTATTTCTGGTGGATAAAGGGGGAAAGGTAGCTCCACTAATGTGACAGGGTGAATTTGTTTTACTTTATTTTTTTAGGATTTTTTTTAATGTTTATTTTTGCAAGAAAGAGGGAGAGGTACAAATGAGAGTGGGGGAGGGGCAGAGAGAGGAAGACAGCATCCCAAGCAGGCTCTGCACTGTCCACACAGAGCCAACATGGGGCTCAAACTAATCAACCAGGAGATGGTGACCTGAGCCGAAATCAAGACTCAGACACTTAACCAACTGAGCCACCCAGGTACCCCTGCATTTGTTTTGATGCTCACAATTACTTGCTGCCTTAAAATCACATCTCCTTTCACCAAGGGAGTGGCTCTTACATTACCTTAGAGCTTGCCAAGACCGGACATAATGCACAAAAGGAACTTCTTGAAATGCAAGTACACTGTTTTCCTACTTTCTCTGTCACATTTCACATTTAGTCACTTTCCATACTGCTATGTTCCTTCTTGGATAAAAACGTTCTCAGGAAAAATGGGCCAAGAAATTAAGTTGACAAATTCTGTGAGCCAATAATTGATAGCTTCCTAGTTAATCACTCCTCTTTCTCCTTAAGACCATGGTCTGCAAATATTAACTCTGACAGTCAGAGTAATCACACCTGAGTGAGCTGCTGCTCTTTGTTAAGTATTGCTCACTAATGGATAAAGCTGGTCAACCACAAAGGCTGCTAGTAAGTGGCCAGGGATGACTAGTAAATAAGAGACTGCTTGCTCAGCATATTTATATATCAAAAGAAAAATCATACCCTCCATCTATTTGATATACCAATGCTCATTTCTTTTCTGAGACCAAAATAATAAGAGCTGGATGGACCACAGAGATGTATTTGCCTCGAAACTGCAGAATAACTACAAAATATTTTAAATCTTAAAGACATTTTGTCTTAACTTCACTGTCCAGTCTCAAGATACGAACAATTCCAGGTGATTCATTTCTATCTGCTAGCCAGCATTAAAACCCACCTAAACTCTAATTTCAGAGCTTAAAATCTATTTGGGGCAGAACTACAACAGACATTTTCAGGTACATGGCTCAATATCAAGTGTTTTTGGTCTCTGGGCTGGCATTATTGCTTCACGTTTGCTAGCCTCTATTACATGCAAACACCTCAGGCAAGTGACAAAAGAACTGCTGCCAAGACCCCATGACGCTTTCCAGGGGCCTCTCAGGGTGGCCTTCCATGGAAAAGGGACAGCCTCCAACACCACACGAGTCTGTCATGGCACACACATCAGAAGACTGCTCAGGATCAAAGTATCTAGAAGAGTCTTTTTTTTTTTTAAGGTTATTTATATAGAGAGAAGCACGAGCAAGGCACAGTGGCAGAGAGAGAGGGAGAGAGAGAATCCCAAGCCGACTCCATGCTGTCAGCGTGGAGCCTGACATGGGCTCCATTTCATGAACCTGAGATCATGACAGCTAAAATCAAGAATCAGATGCCGAACCAAGTGATGTTTTATCTGAAGGCAGCTGAAACACACATAACTCTTAAAGCACTCTAGAAGGCTAGGCTCCCTGCAGGCTTCTTCTAGGTGACTACGTGAGAATGATTAGTCTGCGGGCAGAGCTGCTTTCAGGGATATCGGATTCATGCCTGAGGACTCTTCTCTGGATGTTGGCACTATGCAATGACAGTGTCAAAACTGAATATCCCAGGGCAGAGGATCCCTACATTTTTGGGGTTGGAGACCCCTTTACAACATTAACAGCTTAAAGAGATACCCTGGCCCAACACACACACACACACACACACACACTTCTTCACACTAGTCTACGGACATGCCAGTCAATTACGAAACCTCCTTAGTCTCTCCTGATCTGTGACCCAAACACCGTGAAAGGTCCTTTTTTGTTTTTGGGTTTTTTTTTTTTTAAGTTTATTTTGAGAGAGAAAAAGCACAAGTTGGGGAGGGAGAGAGAGGGAGAGAGTGAATCCCTAGCAGTTTCACACTGTCAGTACAGAGCCCGATATGGGGCTCGAACCCATAACCATGAGATCATGACCCGAGCCGAAGTCAGATGCTTAACCAACTGAGCCACCCGGGTGCCCCTCCATGAAGGGTTCTGATCTCTCATAGTCCAGCATAACTGGAAAGACTGGTTACATACAAGACAGGGAAGTATAACAGAAAACTGATGTGAAAAGTCTTTAGGGAGCATACAATACCTCTTGGAAGCAAAAAGCAAGGAAAGAATCTGCCACAAGTAGTCTGGAAGTAAAAGCTCATCTTACTCCTCCTGCCTACCCCTTCCCATGGGGTGCACTTAGGCAGCCAGCAATTGTCTAGCTGCCGCCTGACTAAGCCCTAGGAACCTTACCACTATGGGACACTGAAGCACTGCCCACAGATTGTTTTTTGATTTTTTAAAAATGTTTACTATTATTGAGACAGAGAGAAACATAGCATGAGTTGGGGGAGGGGCAGAGAGAGAGGGAGACACAGAATCCAAAACAGGCTCCAGGCTCCAAGCTGTCAGCACAGAGCCTGGCACAGGGCTTGAACCCACGAACCGCGAGATCATGACCTGAGCCAAAGTTGGACGCTCAACCAACTAAGCCACCGAGGCGCACCAGATTTTTTTTTAAGTCTTACAGAAGATGATCCAAAAAGTCACAAACTTCCAATTCCTGACTCCCAAGCTCAGATTAAAAAAGAATATTTTCTTAGAAAAACTATCTGAATGGGGTGTGCTGTTTGATGCTGAAGTACTTCCAGGGAAGCTGAAGTTTTGATCAGCTTCTTGCTACCCACACAGAAAGTTAACCTCTTTGTATCTTCTGGCTCCCAAAACAGGACTGGGGCAAGGCAAGGGCTTCCCTCTGTTTCTGAGGATAAAACCAAAACAGGGGCTACCAGTCTTTTACTCTATTGGTTTGGTCAATTTTGTAAGCTTTTTCTGAGCCTATACTAGGTTTTGGAGCTAGAAGGACTAAAACTTTAGGCACTATCTCCTCTCCTCCCCTTAAGAAGCTTACAGACTTCTAAAAGAGGCCTGGGTAAAGTGCCAAGGAAACAAACTTTGAGAGAGGGAACAAATAATTCCACTGCCTGAAAAGGCCGAGGGAAATGAGAAAAAGCATATTTGGGGGGATTTTGAAAAGCAACTGGGATGCCCAGCCCCATCATCTGAGCTGCTCTCTGCCACACTCTCCAAGGACCCAGCACCAGGACCCCGAGATACAAGGCTCCACAGGCAACAGCTCACCATGTAAAGTGCACAACCTCAAATCAGACTAAGCCCTACAGAACAGGGAACACGTATCAGTGGGCATTATTCCATCTACATTCCCATCAGCAAGTCAAGGGGCCAAACAAGTCTAGTTAGACTCTTACCTGTTGGGGTAACAATGAGTTAATGTAACCAACAAGATTTTTTCAGTAAATGTAAAAGAGTAACACTCTAGCCAACATTTTCTTAAAAAGCAGAAAACTGAAAACAATGTTCATAAAAGAACTTTAGAGGAGCGCCTGGCTGGCTCAGCCCGTGGTGCATGTGACTCCTGATCTCTGGGTTGTGAGTTCGAGCCCCATGTTGGGTGTAGAGATTACTTAAAGATAAAATGTTGTAAAAAAATATTTTTTTCTTAAAGTTTAGAGGTTGAATTTATGTATTACTCCACCAAAAATGTGTACTTTAGTTGTTATCTAGCTATGAAAAGGTTTATACCAATTACAGAGAAATAAAAGTGAAAAGGAATTTAAGTGTCCACAGACGAATGGATAATGAAAATGTGCTATATATATATATATACACACACACACATAGCATATACATATTATATACATATATGTATTATATATACATAGGTATAATGGAATATTATACATATATACACATATGTATATGCATGTACATATTATATAAACATGTATATATACATGTTATATACATATATTATACACACATATATATGTATAATGAAATACTACTCAGCCATAAAAAAGATCTTGACATTTGCAACAACAAAGGGAACCTAGAGGGTATTCTGCTAAGTGAAATAAGTCAAACACATGAAGACGAATGCTGTATGATTTTACTTATATGTAGAATCTAAAAAAAAAAAAACAAAACATGAACAAATAAAACAAAAAAAGATTCATAGACAGAGGAAACAAACTGTTGGTTACCAGACTGGGAGGGCGGGGGGGAGACGGGGGATGGCTTTGAAGTGAAAGTGATTCAGAAGTACAAACTTCCAGTTATAAAGTGAGTAAGTCATGAGGATGTGATGTAAAGCACAGAAAATATAGTCATTAATACTATAACAGCTTTGTGTGGTGATAGATGGTAACCAGACTTATCATGGAGATTATTTTATAACGTATAAAAACATTATGATGTACACCTGAAACAAATAGGATATTGTAAGTCAATTATACTTCAGTAACAAATGTTTTAAAATTTTTAATTGAAGGGCTTAAATCCTTGCGGAGAAACAAAAACATTCAGAAAACAATACACTTTAAAATAATCATAAAGGCAAGGTCCATTAACTCTATACTTTTTCAAATGCAGGTAGAAATCCTGTTTACCTTTTTCATTAATTCACTTCTGGTAGTAAACTGTGGCAGGTCTTCCACTTCAATCCCATCAGCCATTTCCATCACTTTGTCTAAAAGGTCTTTGTTGTAACTGCACAATAAAAAAGTAGTAAGATAAAAACCCTGGAGAAATTACTTGTCACTGTGGACTAATAAGAAACTGTAGGTAGCTGAGCTGTAAACTTGACTTCTAGAGTTCTGATACTACAGGGGAAAGGGACACATGTTCAAGAGCCAGTTTGGAAACAGTTCTTCCCGCTTGTGGATTCAGAAAGTGGCTCTAGGAATGCCAATAGAGCAGGTGTTTCAAAATTTCCAAACCATAAAAGGATTTAAGAAAACACACGCACCGTACATCTGGCAGTACATATTCAGGGATACAGTATGAAGGCCAAATTTATTTTTTAAACACATGGAATTCTGTCTAATATAAACATTATTTGTTCATTTGTCCAATTTTCTGACATTAGCCAAATCTTGGAACCCATTAGCCAGGATTTCCCAGGGGCACCTAGAAAACAGAAAAATCTTTTGGCACTGATTCTTCAAATCCTGTTCTAATAAAGCCCCAATATCTGAAAGCAAAACCAAGTGGCTAAGAGTTGGAAGGACCATGTGACCAGAGTCAGACATCCATAAGGTGCACAGAAACCAGGACTAAGCAAAATCATATCCGAACGCAATTTCAGGACACTAAAATAAAAGGATGTGGAGGGGCGCCTGGGTGGCTTAGTCGGTTAAGCGTCCGACTTTCGCTTAGGTCATGATCTCGCGGTTCGTGGGTTCGAGCCCCGCGTAGGGCTCTGTGCTGACTGCCAGCTCAGAGCCTGGAGCCTGTTTCAGAGTCTGTGACTCCCTCTCTCTCTGACCCTCCCCTGCTCATGCTGTCTCTCTCCTAGAAATAAAAAAAAAAAAAAAAACATTAAAAAAAATAAAAGGATGTGGAGCTTCGAGACTTGATACCTTCTTCAATGAGGGGGTACTGGAGGTGCCTTATCAGGCACTTCAAAAGCAGTCTGTTGAAGGCATCTGTTATTTTCCTAACAGAAAAGGAAGAGAGGCAAAGGCTGGCTCCTGCTAAGGGTCCAGCAGACGGGGGAGTGGGGAGAAAAAGCCAAAGGCCACAAATTACATCCTGCCATAAGTGGTAAAATCCACCAATCCTGTCAGAAGCCATCCGGCCGTCTCAGCTACTTCATATGTAAATTAGAGATCTCAGTTTCTGTCTATACACGTTTGCCACGTGGGTGGAAGGAGGCAAGACGCTTAAAAATGTGCTTGGCAAAGATGATAGTTTAATAGTAATAATGCACATAACAATGGCATTTTAGCGCCCACCAGAAGTTGAGCTCTTGCTAGACAGCAGCCTGTGCTAGGTGCTTTTTTCTTTCCTTACTCTTTAATACCATGGCCAACACAACTCGTTCTCCAAATGAGGAAACGGGGGCTCAGAGAGGTTAAATACCTTTCCAAAGGGGCCGACTAGCGTGGGAATCCGCCATAGGCCAGGCCTGAGCGCCAGGAGTTTGGGGGCGGGGTCAGCACTGGGCAGGAGGGGGTCAGCTCCAGAGAAGGGCGTCGGGTCGGAAGGCAGGGGACAGGGTCAGCCAGCCCGCAGGGGTCCGCACCTGCAGCCCAGGAAGAGGTGGTTAGCCCACACCATGGAGAGGGACAGCAGCTGGTCCAGGCGGCCACCGCCATCCGGCGGGTCGCGGTAGTCGGGCAAGTGGCGTAAGATGAATTCCATGCGAGCCTTCCATTGCTTCTCGCTCTCCGAGTAGGAGCGGAACTGCTCCGCGAAGTCGGCCGCCTGTCGCACCCCCGAAACCAGCTCCTCCACCGCGGCGGCGGCCTCACCACCTACCATGGCGCCCTCCGCCACCTTGGGCCACACCGGCCCGCCGCCTTCCCGACTCGCACCGCGCCACTTCCCGGCGGCTAGAGCGGCCCCAGCGGCGCGCGACCGCTGAGGACGACCGGCCTGGAGCGCCCTCGCCGGGAGCGGCGGCCTCACTGGCCCCGGCCCCTCAGACCCCTGCAGCCCCCCCCCCCCCCCCCCCCCCCCCCCCCCCCCCCCCCCCCCCCCCCCCCCCCCCCCCCCCCCCCCCCCCCCNCCCCCCCCCCCCCCCCCCCCCCCCCCCCCCCCCCCCCCCCCCCGGCGCCTGGCGTACCTCCACCTGGGAGCCGCAGGGGCCGTTCTCAGTCGAGTACCTCCACCTGGGAGCCGCAGGGGCCGTTCTCAGTCGACCCGCGGGGAACCGGTAGGGAAGCTGAGGCCCCCAAGCACAGAGACGGAATGCCCCTCTCCCATTCGGCAGCTCGGTACCAGACAGAGCTGTGCTGGGTCCTTGCCTTGGGGCTTTCCCCGGCCCCCAGTCCTCAAATGGATGTTCTCAGCTGTGAGGGCTTATAGGTGTATCTACTTACGGTCTTTGATTAATTCCCAAAGGTCTCGACACGCATTCAGCTTGTGGCCCACCTTCCTGGAGCCAGCCAGCCATCCAATTAAGGACCTTCCAGCTCTTTGCTAGATGCTGGGGATGCAAGAGAGCAAACTCAAAGCCCTGCTTTAATGAACTTTGCTGTCTACGGGGGAGGCAAACAGCGAAATAACTGCTTGAGTGAAAATGTTCAACGTTGGCAGATGTTCATAAGGAGAGGCCTAGAGCGTTAGGAGCATGAATAAGCAAGGGACCTGATCCAGACGTGGCTATCCGGGAAGTGATACAGGAGAGCAGAGAGATGAACAGGAGTTAACCACGTAAAGAGACACAGGCTGTGGTAAGACCCAACCTGGCCTGGTAAACAAAGGCCAATATCTGCGTGACAGGGTCCTAGAGTGGGAGACAGTGGAAGAGATGAGGCTGCAAAGATCAACAAAAACAGCTGGCCATGGTAAGGACTGTGGTCTGGATCTTAACAGGAATGGCGAGCCCCTGAAGGATTTTAACCAGAGCAGTGACACCTCTGTTTCCAAAAGATGTTAGAAACAATCAGCATGGATGTGTCCACAGGAACTGAGCAGGTGAACTCTGCTGTCTGTTCAGGTGTCAGTTAGTAGATCCACTAAGAGAAGAGCTTACTTCTAAGTGGTGAATTTCCTATCCCTGGAAGCATTCAAGCACAGAACCCGGGAAATCTCTTGAGCCTCCCTCAGCCTTGAGAGATTATTGATGTAAGAGGATTCCCCATCTTCCCAGCTTTGCTGTCTGCTGTTTCTGCAGCTTCTGATGGGATGTCAGGACCCCAGCAGGCAGAAACCCCCATACAAAATGGAAATACCAGGCAGTCTAATGAGGAGGTTGTGCTTACAAACCCAGTACCAGGCTCAGTGAACTCCCATTGTGGTTAACAATAGGAAAGCACCATACTCTCACCCTGGCAAGCAGGGAGAATGTAAAGAGTATAAAGCCAGAGAGAGTCTCAGCTTCTCCACAGCAATCAGGAGTAGGTGACCACAGCCAGGGCTCTCAAAATTGAGTGCAGATCACATCTCCTGTGGGGCTTGTTGAAATAGCAGATTCCCAGTCCTCTCGCTGGATGCTCAGAATCAAGATTCCTGGTAGTTGATTCCATCTGCCGCTGAGCAAACTTTGAAAAACATCGATGAGACTTTTCTGAACCAAGTTCTTGGTCACCTGATGTATAGTTGAGACACTGGTTCAAAAATAGGAACCTGAGTTTTGTTATCAGAGGCTGTAACTCCACAGCTAACTTGGCCCCTGGGTTGGGAAAATGCCAAGGGATCCTCCAGCAACTAGCTTATTTAGCATCATTTTTGATAATGATGAGACATATACATATATGTATACATATATACATACAAATATATTCATACATGCATGCAAATTAGAATAATCCAAAAGCAGACAAATAGGTATTATTAAAAATAACATGATATTGTTACATTATTCTTTCAAAATATGAAGTAGGCTAAAAATGTTAGTATTAACATTTTATAGGACCCTTTGGTCCTGTAAATTATTGCCAAGTTTATTATTTCTTCTTTTTTTTCTCTCCCAGTTCATTATTTCTAACTTGTTTTTATGATTCCGATTTCCTCAGAGTGGAGTACTTAATTATATGGACAAAGATCAATTTGCCTACCCCATCTTTTTTTTTTTTTTTTTTACTCTTTGAGATATAATTCACATACCATAAAATTTCACCCATTTAAAATATGTAATCCAATGGTTTTAGTATATTCACAGATTTGTGCAACTATCAACACAAACTGAATATAAAACATTTTCATCACCCCCAAAAGAAGTCCCATACCCATTAGCAATTGTTCCCCATCCCCCCCCAGCACCTGCCAACCACGAATCTACTTTTTGTCTCTATGGATTTCCTGTTCTGGACATGTAACATCAGTGGAATCACACAATATGTGATCTTTTGTGAATAGCTCTTTCACTTATATAATGTTTTCAAGGCTCATGCATGTTGTATGGTGTGTCAGTTCTTCATTCCTTTCTATGGTTGAAAAACACTCCATTATATGGATATGCCTCACTCTCTTTATCCATTCATCATTTGACAGACATCTGGATTGTTTCTACATTTTGGCTATTTTGAATAATGCTGCTGTGAACATTCATTCAGGTACAAGTTTTTGTGTGGACATACATTTTTAATCTTCTTGATGATACAGTGGATTGCTGTGTCTGTGTTTAACTTTTTGAAGAGGTGACAGATTGTTTTCCACCTTGTCTGCACCGTTCTCCGTACTCACCAACAGTGTATGACTCCACTTACTATTTTCCCTTTTTTTGATTATAGTCATCTTTGTAGGTACAAAGATGTATCTCATTGTGGTTTTTATCTCCCTAAGAACTAATTATGTTGAGCATCTTTCATGTGCTTATTGACCATTTGCCTATCTTTGGAGAAATATGTATTCAGATTCCTTTGCCATTTTTTCAAAAAGAGAGAGATACATTTTTTTATTTTTTTGTTTCATTTAATTATTTTTAATGTTTGTTTATTTTGAGAGAGCACGCACCCGCGTGTATGAGCAGGGGTGAGGCACAGAGGGAACGAGATAGAGAATCCCAAGCAGGCTCCACACTGTGAGCACAAAGCCCTATGCAGGGCTCGAACTTCTGAACTGGAACTTGAACTAACAGACCGTGAGATCATGATCTGAACCGAAACCAAGAGTCAGACACTTAACCAACTGAGCCACACAGGCGCCCCAGAGACTTCATGTTTTAGAGCATGTTTTTAGGTTTATAGAACAATTGAGCAGAAAGTGCAGTTTCCATTTCCTTTTCCCCGTCCCTCCAGCTGCCTGCACTATCAGCATCTAGCACCAGAGTGGTCCATTTATTACGCTGACACATCATTATCATCCAAAGTCTATAGTTTACATTAGGGTTCACTCTTGGTGTTGTACATTCTATGGATTTTGATGACCGTATAGTAATATCAATCCACCATTATAGGAACATACAGAATAGTTTTGCTGCCCTAAAAATCCTGTATTTTGAAGAGCAAAAGTTTTATATTTTGATGAAATACAATTTATTTTTTCTTTTCTGGGATGCTCTTTTGGTCCTTTCTAAGAAAACTTTGACTGACCCAATGACATGAAGATTTTCTGTTTTCTTCTGGAAGTTTTATAGTTTTACATGTAGATGTATGCTTCATTTCAAGTTAATTTTTGCAAATGACACAAGGTATGGATTGTCAAGAGCGATAAAGGGTATAAAATTTTACCCCACTTGTAAGCCAACAAGTTACTGTGGCACAGTTTCAATGGCTGCTGGAAAAAGATGGAAGACTCCTATGATAGAGACAAAGAACTTGATGACTCACAGCATAGCAAGCAGTGAGGGCTTCAAGTTATTGTGGGTTCCCTGTCCATAAGTCCCACAGTGGGCTGTGCCAAGGGGCCAGGTGGATGAAGTACAGAGTACACACAGTGGGTTCCTATTACAGCTCAGGAACCCTAAGCTTAGGGACCAGAAACCCTTTATAAAGGACTGCAAGCAAACCTGCCCAACCTTTGGTCCAGAACAATACGTTATCTTTTTTTTTTTTTAATCTGGATAGTAAACAAACTTGCCCTTTACTCTGAAGGTGGACACTATCTCTTAACTGTTTCATGGACAAACATCCTTGAAAAGAGTCTGAAACCAGAGGAGGAGCCTTTTGTGCAAGCAGAGCAGGGAAGATTGAGTGTCCCTATGGAAAAAATGGAACTTGACCGCAGGTTCCTAATGATCAAAAAGTGAATTACAGGGGATTTGTAAATCTAAATACAAAAAGCAGTTTGCTAGCTAACTGACTTTGAAACAGTTATTTTACCAGGAGTGATTCTTTGTTTCTCACTGGAGTAGACTGAATTGGGAAGATTGAGCTAAATGTACTCTGGTGATGTAAAACTAAAACCAAATCCAGTGTATGATCTCAAAAGTTTTGAAATGTGTATTGGGGCGCTGGGTGGCTTAGTCGGTTAAGCATCCAACTTTCGCTTAGGCCATGATCTCGCGGTTCATGGGTTCGAGCCCCGCATCGGGCTCTGTGCTGACTGCCAGCTCAGAGCCTGGAGCCTGTTTCAGTCTGTGACTCCCTCTCTCTCTGACCCTCCCCTGCTCACGCTGTATCACTCTCTCTCTCCTAGAAATAAAAAAAAAAATTTAAAATAATAAAACATTAATTAATTAATTAAAAAGAAATGTGTATTTAAAGTGGTTGCTGTTAATTTTTTTTGTAAAGCCTTTTATCAAATAAGAGAGGTTTCCTTCCATTCTGAGTTTGCTAAGAGCTTTTATCATAAATGACTAAAAATTTGTCAATAAATGGGATGTTTATATACTTCAACTATTTAGAATTATGTAAAATTATATTTCATTCATATATTGAGAAGCAATCCCATAATATTTTGGCTTTATTTTGTTAATAT